TTCTCTAAGCAGCAGTAGCTTTTGTCATGCCCCACTCGCACGCCCTCACTCTCTCTCTCTACCTTGCACACTGTATGGACTCTCATGACCCTCAATTGGTGGCTTCCCACCTTATAACAGATAATCTGTACTCTGATATGAATTCCATGGTAATTCCAAAGCATTGCTCTCATTTATAGTCTCTTAACAGTCTGACAACTCTAGTTCTGTATAAGTTTCTAGAAGTATGATTTTATTTCTGTGGGTTGCGCCTCCTAGCCTCCTTGGTGAGATCACCCAGTGACCCTCAACAAGCTTTAGTCCACTCTCAATTCTACCGATATCTCTGCTTTCTTATCCAGCAACTCCACCTTCTGCACAGAGTTCTTTCCAGATATACCACATGCATTTAGTCACAGACACCCGCTCTGGTACCCACACGACTAGTGAGCTCCCCTTATAGCCAGGCACTCTGCCAGGACACCCTGGAATATAGAACGAGTCTGCCAGGCTCTCTGCTCTGGGAGAATCTCACTTGCCAGGTTCTGATGTTGTGACGTCTACCGTGCTTGAGAGCTCGCGACAGGCCCTTTCAAACTGCATTTCCCAGCATCAGCCTTGTATGAGACATTAATAGACAATCCCCACCAAAAAGGGTTCTGGGCTTAATTGAATTTGGGAAATAGGATTACAGGTGCTAATACATGTTATGAATTTTGAGGAGGAGGCTATATATAGTAGGTTTTTCTAAATGTATTTGACCTGCAAACCGTCTTTTCTAGGAACCCCTGTTTCAGACAGTATCATTCCTCTGATGCCATTTGGGAAATGCTGGCTCAGGAGTAGTTCAGCTCACTCAGTCCTGCCAAATGCCAAGAACCAGGTTGGGGTCATTCAAACATACCTCCTGGTTAGGCGGAGAGCGGGTATCTCTTTGTGATTTCTCTTCGCTCTGCCTTTTGAATGATAAGTAAGTTGAATCTGCACCCAATGCCCAGTTATTTACTTTTCCATAGGTTTGTGTTCAGTGTAATCGACCATACAGCCCTAAAGACTTCCCGGTCTGTATTCCTAGCCCAGGCATCTCCCTTGAGTTCCAGAACCCACGTATCCTGTGGTCTGCTGGGTAACCACCTATTGGAGATCTTTAGCAGGATGTCCAGGAAGCACTTCAAATGCAGGTTGTTTCACACAGACATGATTACTGCCCTCATAAAATTCATTTCTCCATCTGCATTTTCTAATGGCCTCGTTGTTCCCATCCAACCAGAAACCTGGAAGATGTTCCGAATTCCACCCTCCCAGCCAAGTTATTATTAAGTCCTCTGGATTCTACCTTCCAAGAAGGTCTTGAATTTTCCCCCTATTTTCCACCCTCAACTGCCATTGTCTAATTTGGGGTCCTCACTACAGTGGTTTTCTAATGTCTTCTATTTTAGGTCAGGATTTCTGGGAAACAAGACTCTGGGTTTCTGCGACTTGCATGCAGGAAGGTTATCAGAGAAAGCTATGGGGAGTAACCCCTAAGGGGACCGTGGAGGAGATAAGACCAAGCAGAGGGAGAAGCTGAACTTCGATATTATTGCAAGAATAGCCTGAGCCAATCCTATAGGGTGCCCTGGAACTGGATGACAACTCCGAATGTCCCAACTTGATGCAAGGGGTTGGGGTTGGAGAGCCTTAAACCAACACATTTTCACTCTTTTCAACCTCCACCCTCCATACCAACCCTTATTCCCCCCAACCCCACACTGATTTTGGGTATTCCCCACCCCACACCTGGGTAGTATAACCTTTGGCCAAGGGCAGTTCCCAGAATGGACCTCAGCTGAGAGCCACCAGCCACCAACCCTTCCAAGCAGGTGGAGAAACTAGTGCCTTAGTCCTGAGGGGGATCAGGGTGGCATACCACAGCATCTTATCTGTAATTTTGCTGCTTTCTAATTCATCCCCCACAATACCACCAGAGGGGTTTATCTAAACCTAGATTTAATCACACTACGCCCTTACTCAGAAGCTTTCAATAACTCCTCCTTATCTACAAAACAATTCAGTTCTGATCTCTGTCTACCTGTGAAGCCTTGTCTCCCACAGCTTTCCTTCTTGCGTGCACTGTTACCCCACTAATGCCAATGTACAAATACTTGTCAACCCTTCATGAATGCTGTTCCCCCTGCTGAGTGTAAGCTTGTCCCACTTCTCTCATTAGAAGACTCCTGTTCATCCTTTAGGGCCCAGTGTAAGCATCCTCTTCTCTGCAGTACCTTCCTTAAGCTCCTCAAGCAGAGGTAATATCCTTATACTCTGTTTATACTCTTGCAGCTATTTGCTTATGTGAACACTAGACTGACCTCCTTAAGAGTAAAGTCTGTGTTGTATTCATTTTTGAATGGGAATGAATGAATCAATTGGCCATGTGTTATCAGTAGTGTATAAAGCTGTGTCTACATGGGCTGACTCAAGTTGACTCGAGTTTATTTCAGCCTAGTCAGCTTTTTTTTTCCAGGGACTTAATCTAGTTGCCCAGTGAGGGCTATAGGTCCCTAGGGGGACGGATTCTATCTGGGGACTCTCAGCTGGTTTGGTATATATAGCTCAATGCTCTGAGGGAATTGGGTATTTAATAAATACTTCCCATTATGTTGATGCCACCCCCTCATGTTGGGCAAGGGACATAGCCAGTGACCTGCAGTATGCGTTATGAAAGGTATGGCCTGACTTACCTAAAAACCTCTCTTTTATGACTGAGGTCTCCCCTCATGTCCATTCTGAAATTCTTTTTTTAACATTTTTATTAAAATATAGTTGACATACAATATTATATTAGCTTCAGGGGTACACCATAGTTATTCAACATTTATTTACCTAAAGAAGTGATCACCATAAGTCCAGCAACCATCTGACACCATACTATGCTATCACTATATTATTGACTGTTTCCTATGCTGTCCATTACATTCCCACGACTTATTTGTTTTATACCTGGAAATGTGGACCTCTTATTCCCCTTCACCTTCCCCCCTCTTTTAAATTTTCAATTACAGTTGACAATATTATTTTATATTAATTTCAGGTGTACAGCATAGCGTTCTGAAATTGTTACCCTTATATTTCCTAATGATTAAACCAGTGGTCCCTTGAGTGAGGTGAGTGTACTGTCGGGCCTGGGCAAGCTGACGCATCTGCAGGAGAGAATTTCCATGTCTATTTATTTTTATTTTACCTCTTTAAAAATTTCTGTATTTTGTATATGCTTCTTAATGTGCGTAATATAGTAGTACATGTATGTAATTTATAAATAAATAGTATTAGGGGGTGTACGCTCAAAACATTTTTTACTAAGTAGCACATGGTTTAAAAAAACCTGGAGACCCCTAGAGTGGACGCCAAAGACTGGATGCTTCTTCAGCCTCATCCATTAGCCCTTCAGTTGATCTGATTGCTGAGCTAATTTGTGCTAATGGGCACTTAAGGCCTTAGGAGAGCTCTGAAATCCAGGATCTGAAGTAGTCAGGAATGAAAGGTAGGGGCAGGCAGGGGGCTACCTGGGGACAGCACAGAGACTGCATCTAGCCAGCACTGGTGAACCATCTTGTAAGGAGTTGAGAACCTGGACTACAAAGAGGCAGGAGGTAGAGCAGGAGACCGCAATGGGATGGGCAGCCTACTGGAGGCCTGAGGAGAGAGGAAAGAACAAATGTCCCTGCCTCCCCCAGGAACACACCCCACTTGCTTCTCAGTGTGATTGGAGCTCATGTCAGAGTGTAGCCAGCCAAATATGAAGCTAGCAATGGCTGCTCCAGGATGCCCAGGTCGGGGGGCTGAGAGGTGGCAGCAAGCTGATTGGAGTTAGGGCGTAGCAGCCTGGTCTTAACATTGCATTAGCATAACCAGAGCATTGTTTTTTACTTGGGTTGTACGGTTATTTGGGGATGGCTGTAGGGATTGATGGATGGTGGAAATGGAGAGTACGGGGAAGGTGTAGTTAGCAATGTAGCCCTTGTGCGTCTTTGGCAGATGGAAGCCAGTGAGACTCATTAGCCTAGAAAGTGAAGAATGGGATCTAAGACAAGGCAAGACCCTGACCCAGCACCAAATCCTGGAGGCCTGTGGTCTGCATTGGGACGATGCAGCAGAATAGCTCTGGCAGCCAAGAAACAGGTTCATGATACAGGACCAAGGGGCATGAGCAAGGAAGGGGCCTTCTCAGTGGGAGATGGGGTAAGGGCAGAGGGGGACTCCACGAGCAAGTCTTTGATGAGGAGAAAAAGTAGGTGCAGAGAGACCCCAAAGGCGAACATACCTAACGTGAAAGGATTAGCCCCGATGGCGAGGAAGCAGCCTTCACATCTGCACAAGTCCTGGGTCCACTAAAGAATCAGTGGCAGGCTGATGGATGGGCAAGGTAGGACATAACAAACAGTTTTCTTTCACAGGGTGGTTCCTAGAAAACAAAGAAGGACCGAAGGGAAACCAATGCAATTTATTTTGTTTTGGTTTGTAGACTCTTGGGTAGGCTCTTAGTGTTCTACCAGCAGCAGACTATAAACCCGTTGAGGGCTGCAACCACTTCTAGTGGATCCGATGTTGCACTTCAGTTAACATAAGCGTTTACATATACTATTCCATATATCCTTACCACAACCCAGCCAGGTAGATATTCTTCTATCCATTTTGCAGACGGTGATATACAAATTCAAAATTAAATAAGTTTGTTTAGCCAGAAACCTATAATCTGCAAATGAAGACTCTGAGGCCCAGGTGTGGTTAGAACGCTTTACCTCAGACAAAATGCCGATAGTTGTCCAAGCTAGGACTCACGCTGAGGACTCACAGAGCTCCACCTCCTAATTCTCCATCTTTTTGTTACAGTTCCCTCCCAGCCCACCATGGTGCTAAAATCAGAGGTCAGCAGACAGAAAGCAGGTGTGAGGAATGGTTCACGAATTTTCTCGGCTCTGACTTTCCACTCTTGATTCTCCCTGGCGACTGGTTCTAACAGTCTCTATGTTTCTTTGCAGCATGCAAAAGGAAAGAGCAAGAACATGGGAAGGATAGAGGCAACACACCCAAAAAGCCCAGGTTGGTCTTCACAGATGTCCAGCGTCGAACTCTACATGCAATATTCAAGGAAAATAAGCGTCCATCCAAAGAATTGCAAATCACCATTTCCCAGCAACTGGGGTTGGAGCTGAGCACCGTCAGCAACTTCTTCATGAACGCCAGAAGGAGGAGCCTGGACAAGTGGCAGGACGAGGGCAGCTCCAATTCAGGCAACTCATCTTCTTCATCAAGCACTTGTACCAAAGCATGAAGGAATAACCACGAACTCAAACCTCGGTGGAAAAGCTTTAAATTTAAAAAAAAAAAAAAAAGAAAAAAAAAGAAAAAAAATTTTTAAAAGACCAGGACCTCAAGATAGCAGGTTTATACTTAGAAATATTTGAAGAAGAAGAAAAAAAAGTGTTATTTATAGTCCAAAGAAACCAAAGACTTAGCTCACCTGCATTCTGACTTTGTTTGGAGACACATACTTCAGCGGGGTGACGACTTGGCAAAAATTATGAGCAGGAAACCACCACTGGATCTCACACCTTCCGTCCATGGTCATTCTCGCTGTTCTTGGCTATTTCATGGTTTGGAGCATAGTCATCATGAGCCACAGAGTGGACGTCTTTTAAGATCGGACTTTCTCATCTGTTCCACCGCTCCACAAAGGTGTATGGTGTCTCAGTACTGTGTGTGGCTGTGTGTGTACACACACACCCACACCCACACACACACACACACACACACCACCAGTGGTTAGGGACTTAGGCAGGGCTGGTCTTCAGGAAGGGTTGTGCTATCAGAGCGCAACCAACACAGTGTGGGGTTGTCTGAGTTCATTGGATTAGGAGTGTGATTTCGCTCATCTAGCCTAGCGTTTGAACCTGCCAGGCCCGCAACCTAAATGCAGATTCAAACCCAGCAAAGAAAATTCGAATGACACCTAAACCAGTGCATTCTCTTTGTTTGTTAAGGAATGTTCAGATATTTTTTAAGAAATGAAACAAGAGTCCATCCATTAAAAAAAAAAAATCACCTAGGTACCAAAGAACACACTTAATATTATAGTGCAGGTATTTTATTGCAATGATTTTAATAACCAAAGCTATTTTTACACAAGATACTATGTAAAGTTATACGTATGAACTGATCTAGCTGTAATACACATGCCACATAGAATCATGACTATTATTTATGACTCTTGAAGCATTTGAAATATTAGTTTTCAGAACTGGCAAGAAAGAATGTAGCTTCAGGGAAGCAATTAATATCATAACAGAGAGGTCCATGCAGAATACATATACACCCAGATGGCATACTCCCTTTCGGAATCCATAAATGTCACTTAAGTAGACATATAGACACAATTCCAGCATCTTTTCATAGCTGAGAAACCCTGGGAATTCTTCCAAAGTAGGATTCCGATTTGTAAACTAGAAAACTAAGTCTAACAGGGCAGGTAACAAAATTAGAAAATTTGTTCCAAGTCATGCTTTTCAGTAAAAGACCACTGAATAAAGGACCCCATACTTGGATTAATTTGACAAATTTGCTGTATGCAGTTGACACCAAATCCTTTTTATGATAATAATACTTTACAAACACACAAATAAAGTGAGCAAACATTATTATTAGAATGTAAACTATCCAATACTTTAATCATTTAAAACATATAGTCAAACTGATTTTATGTCTAATCCCAGACATTTTATGACTTGGACATCCATAAAAATGGCAGGCACAACCAGGAAATGGTGGAACATAGCAAAAGCCCGAGTTCTAGTGAAACACAAGACTTTGGGTTCTATAGTCTTAAGCTATTTATTTCACTAAGCATAGCCTCTAAAGCGTACTACATTCTTTCTTGCTACTGCATTAAGCTGGCAATTTTATAACATAGATTCCACTCTCTAACAGGGACAGATAAACACTAGACCTGAACCTCCAAATATAAAAATTTAAATTTCTCTTTTCCCAAATCACTTAACCAGGGCTATAGAAATCAAGGCAAAAAAAAATTTTTTTTAAAGATAATACAGTTGTACTAGTAGTACCCAAGGGAATCATTTGATGCCCCCACTCCCCCTCCCACCCCCGCAATTCTCTCTTAATTTAATTGAATTGTAACTCATATAAGTGGATGCCTTTTGTACTAATAGGTAAAGAACTGGGTACTCTTGGTTAATTAGCACACCTAACTAGAAATATAAAATTAAACGTTACCTCAACAATATGTTGTTTCTTGAGATTCATTAAAATGCTAAAGAAAAAAAAAATCAGACCACCTTGACATGAAACCTAAGTCCTTAGGATCAAATCTCAGCATCTTATCTAGGTTTAGAAGAAGCAAACTCCTGGAGAGATGAGGCAAAACCAACATGCATCTGTGTCTCCTTCATGTCTTCTGTAGAATGAGAAAAGGAAAGCAACACATACTTCCCATTTAATGAAACAGCGCATTTGCCTTGACACATTTTGTCTTACTATTTTTTTTAATTTCACCCCAAATTCCAGCTTAAAATTTTCCCTTATAATATGGCACAATTATAATTCAGCTATTAAAAGAGACCATTTAAATGGCCACCCTCCAAGATTCACTACAAAATTTAACCTTGTCAATAACATAAACTAAAAGGAAAAAACTGATTAACTTTTTCTCTCTCTCCAGGAATAAAAAAGGTCCAGGATTACAGCTATATAATGTATTTATAATTTAGGAGGGAGGAAAGCCTTATTGAAAACACGAGAATTTTAAATGCAGGGAATCAAGCTGTGTCTACACACAATCTTACCAAATTCAGTACCCCAGGAAAAACAAAAGTTAAATTCAGACAACCATGATTTTTTGTTTTGTTTTTACTACATTACGCCCTCAAATTAATCTAACTGCATTTTAAGTTTTCAACTAATTATTTTGTTGCTGTGTAGACACAGTTTCAAAGAATATTACTATGTTTTTAATATTCTCACCATAATGGTTTTTTGAAAAATAACCAGTGATTCTATTTGCTAACACCAAAGATAATTTTCATACCAGCATTGAATTTGCACCCATTATGCAATTTCAGGGCCTAGAGATATATTTTCTCATAAACAGATGCACAAATCAGAGCCTGAAAAGCAATTCTTTTTACTTGATTGTTTAAGCATCCTCACAACCTCTGCTTCTTAGAAATCATAATGGACAAACTCCGCTTCTCACAAGCAATACACTTATTCCATCCTGTATGAGTGATTCTGTTTTGCTTCTGACTTGGCACGTAGAGAAAAAAATGCTTCCATTCCTGTTTACTATTACATTAATTTATGGCTCGGGTTTCTTAACCTACTACAACCGAGCAGATCATGAGCCATTTGTTCACTCATTCATTTCTCAATCCTTTAGAAAAATTCACCTAAAAAGGTATTCACTCTTTTATCTGCATGTTTGTTTATTCCAGAACTGTACTTCAAATAACATGTTTTTGGGGTTTTTTGTTTGTTTGTTTGTTTGTTTTTAATAGAGTAGAACTTAGACTGTTTTTGGCCATAAATCATTCTGGTCCTGTCACAACCAGAAGTTTCCCTGAAAGGGGGCCAAGAGAAAGAGTGGGAGGTGTGACGTCTGGACACCCCAAAAGCCCAGATTTCAGTAAATGTTCAGGTAAAAGAATTCTGGATATCAGGAACTGAGTGCTCTAGTCCCTGGATGCAGCTGGAATAGACCCCCCAAAACCAAAGAAAATATGTGGGGAAATTCAGAAGTTCTAACTGAACATGTCATTCAGTCTGTCCCCTCCACCCCCACCCCAACAGCATAATTAATTTTCCAGGAAAAAAAGGAAAAGCACTATGCTACTTTTGGACTCATGCCACTCCCATTGCAACCCCAGGTGAACGACCCATCCTTGCAGGTTAAATGCAAACTTTGCTATACCAAAGAGTCCTAGGACATTTTCACATGAGCTATAAAGGCATTTTCCCTAAAAAAAAAAAAAACAAAAAAAAGGTCCTCCCTTCTTTGTACATAAAAGATGAAAACTATGCATTTAGCAAACAAAGAGAAAGCACTTCCCCCTTTCCTATCTAGTTGTTTAGGGTGCATTCAAACACCGGAGGCCATTTTGAGATGCATTGGCCGTCTGGGTTATTCTTGTGGTGTGGTTAGCTTTACAGTGCATTTGGTAACTATTTCCTAAATAGGAAGGACAGAGAAGCAGAAGGTAAGAAACAGCTACTTCCACATGTAAAAAAATAAAAAAAATGTAAAGATCTACTATTTATAGTGTGAACCAAAGACGCTACCTCACTCGATTTCCATTGGTGATTTTAATCACATTGATATGATACCAAAGAATACCAAAGATATTTTCATGCACGGCCTCCGTCTGCAGAGGGAACTCCGCCCCTGTCCTAACCCTTCTCCCACCCCCCTCGCCCCTCTTCACTCTTCACTCAGTGTGTAAACTTGTCTTCATTCTTAATAATAATGATACGACAACAACAACATTAGGAAATACTACTCTTATTACTGCTAGTTCTACTTGTAAATCTCTAGGCAAACATGTTGCAAACTTTGTAAACTTCTAGGACGAGTGCCTTGCTTGAACCAAAGTGTTAAACCGCTGTTGACCTCTCTCACCTTATACTCTTTGAATACCTCAGCCTCTTAGAAAGGCCACTAATGAAAAAAAAAAAAAAAGGAATAATTATTCACCGTGGTGCTTTTTCCGTGCAACCATGCAATGAAACTTTCTTTGATACCAAAGGATGACTTTTTTTTTCCCAATTTCTTGCTGATAAACCAAAGCTCCTCCTCCTCGTTCCCTCTCAAGGTCCCCCCACTTCACTGAGTCCCTTCATCAGGCAGGCCGTGCATCACTTTTACCAATTCCTCCAAATACCTCATAGTAATAAAGTTTTAGGGTTATGTTGTATAGAGAGTCTATGTGATAAGGCAGAACTTACTAGTTTGATAATTGTTAAGGTTACTTTTAAAAGAAACTTTATAATTCTTATTTATTTTGTAGTTTGTATGTTTGGGATGTCCGCACCCTCCCCTCTTAAGTTTGGGGTTTATTTTCTTGGCAGAACTGCTCTGTTGCTCAAGGAAGACTTAATTTCTGGAAATGTTCCCCAGGTGGGTTAAGGGTTGTGTAAAAATGCAAGAATGGAATAAGAAATGCTTTTCATTTTGATGGTTACTTATGAAGTTTTTGTGTTTCGTAGTAAATTTGTTTCGACAGGGTAAAAAATATATACATAATCTCTTTCTTGTGAAACTGGTTCCTATTTTTCTCTATAATGTGCTGTGATTTCTTTAATTTAATTACATTTTATATGAGCTTATTTAATCACTGCTTTAATTTATGTGTAGTTTTTAAAATGTATATAGTAGAATCGAAATGGCCAAAGCTTTGTGTTACAATCTTTTTGTTATTGATGCTAAGATTAGCTGAAGGCAAGAGCTTCTCTTAACTGCAGGGTGTATTTTTAGCTTTTTCTTAGCAGGCACTTCAATGTGTGTTGTGAACACTGCCAGGTTCCCCCCTCAAAAAACTTGTACATGCCAAAATAAGTGTTTCAAGGTAGTCCTTTTTATCACTTAGAAAGAAGAAAGGCATTATTCGTGTTCTTCCTTTAATTTATTAATTTTTTTCTTACTTTTTTATTTTATTTTAAGTAAGGATTATTTTGCAGGTTAGACCTGAAATTCCAAAGAATTTAAGACTTGTTTAATGTTCCAAAGCACCGGCATTTGTGAGATACTTTGCTACTTTTCTTTCTTTTTTTTTTTGCCATTCGCACGGGTATGAGAAGTAAAGAGTGTAAACACTCAAAGAGACAAGCTAACTTGAATTTGGAAAACCTCTTAAGTTTCACCAAGTTTCTGAATTGCTTCAAGGCAGGAGGCAGGATATGGGGACCCAGTTCCTTTTGCAGAGCCAGAGGAGAGTATAATGGCGTCATGCCCTTTCAGAGAAAGTCAAGGCTGACCAGGCGCCTGCCCATCTGGCCAACCCACAGAAGAAGCAAAACATGATTGCTCGGCCCCAATTATCAATCGAGTTTAAGGAAAATGTTTCACAGTTACATATTCCTCCCCACATCTGTTTCTTGGAAACTGCTACCCACAATTCCACCCACCCTTCCCTAACCACCATAATTGGAAGAATTCTTCTCAAATGTCAGAGTCCCCTGGTGAAAGTACCCCAGGCCTATCTGAGTTGGTGTCTTTTCACTCTTTGTCTTCCCACTAATTTTCTTTTTCACACACTAGAGATGGTCCCTGCCTCAAGCCCCCTTCATCAAGGTTGTTCAGATACTTGGCCCTGTTTTAGATCAGCACATGCAAAATTCTCAGCTGAGTCGTGGCATCCTCAGAAGACCCCGTGCCCGCTATTTTGCTTTATTTTGCTGAAATAAGTTAATTCAACTACATGGCATAAATCCACAGATGTAAATACTTTTCCCTCAATACAAGACATTTACCTTATTTTCTTTGGCAGGCGTGTTTGGGGTAGGGAAGGAAAGGGAGGGCTTAGACTTTGGGTCAAATGTTACATTTTCTTAGAAACATTTTTGTACTCGTTGTGTATTTTAATAGGGCAATAAATCTGCTCTGAGTTGCAGGATCATTCAGTGCTCTGTTGGTAAGCATTGACTAATTATTTGTTTTTAATACAAATGCTGTGCAGTGAGTGGTAGAAAGCCCAGGAAAATGGTGGAGGGAGACGACCGGCCATCAGTAGTGACACACTGAACAGAATTGTATTCACGAGGTCATGTTTTCCGTTTCTGTGTTAGTCTCGATTTTTTTTGTGTGGTATGTTCTGCATTTATTACATAATCATTGTGGGCTCCTTTTAGATGTGCCGTCTGAACCAAGTGACAAGTATTTTTTAACAAAATAAACTTTAAAACATTGTCTTCCACTTGCTTCGGTAGTCGTCTTCATATCTCCCTGTGTTTTTGTCCCTTCTGAAGTCAGTCCATCTGTCACTCACTTAAGACCTGTCCCTTCCCCCTCTTCTATTCTCAATACCCCTTTGACCCTAATTAGCTATTGTTTGAGTGTGACTCAGTTTCCCTGTTCAAGTTAGCTTGATGGTTTATTGTGTAAGGAGGGTGCCTAAGACAATCATCAGGTAAAAAATAAATAAATGAAAAGAAAAAGAAAAAAAAGAAAAAAGATCAGTAGAGTAGAAAATCTTCCAAGAACAGAGGGACTTCTTCCTTAACAATGGAAAAAAAAAAGTTAAATACATAATTAAATAATTCATTAAAAATCCTAAACATGAGGGGCTTAGAAGATTTTTGATAAAAGACAAATGTTGCTGTCATTTTCTTTGTCAATTAGAAAGCAGTGGTAGTTTCTACGTTGCATCCACATTTCAGACGAAATGATTATTGTACCCAGTTATGGTTGTTTGCTAATATTTTGTCTCTCTCTCTCTCTCTTTCTCTCTCTCTCTCTCTCTCTCTCTCTCTCTCTCTCTCTCTCTCTCTCTCTCTCTCTCTGTCCAATGCTTCTTCTGTATTTTTGTGTGTAGCGACAAAAAAGTGTAATGCATTAGGCATTATTCTGGTTTGTTTATGAGTATTTCCTGTACTGCATTAGGCTTCTTTCATTTTTTTTTTAAGCTTCGCTACTGTTCTCACTTTATGCCGTGCAATATCATCTGCTGTGTTTGCTAAGCAAAAAAGAAAAAAAGAAAAAAAAGCAAGTGATGATGCCATCATGCTTTTCAGTGTTAAAATGTTTCAGCATTTATGTAGTCACCAAAATGTAGTAAATAAAATGTTGGATTTTCCAGCACTTTAAATTTAGACAATACTTGCCTTCTTTTGTTTTTATTCTCTTTGTAATCCTCAGTAAGTAGCTCGTGGATTTTCTTTGGAGGAAGGGTGAAGCTGAGAGTACAACATGCTTGAGAACTAAAGCCAGGGCCAAGTTTTAAAGAAACATTAACTAAGAGGGAAAAAGAAAGAAGGAGGTCTTCTCTAGTGGAACAGGAGGATGTTTTAAAATGGAAGTAGAACATTCTATTTGTAGATGTTAGCCATTTATATTAACATTATTGACTCTCAGAAGAAATACAGTTATTAGAGAGATGACCTTTACAAGTCCTCTCCAGTAAAATAACGTGTGTGTTATGGGGTTGGTGGGGGGTGGGAATGTCTGTCTGTCTGTCTGTCTGTCTGTCTGTCTGTCTCAGGAGCCAGGGGAGGACAGGGAAATTAGGATCCTCTTCTATTTAATAGGGTGTAGTGATTGATCACGAGCCCTGGGTTAGGGAAGAAGGAAACTAGCTTTGAAATTCCTGTTGTGCTGATTGCTAGCCGTGTGATGTTGGGCCTACCAGTGGGATGGTGGGAGGTATGCCAAGCTCTCCCCCAAGGATGATTAATACCAACTTTATTTCTGTAGTACATAAAAACTTTGCTCCTGTAGAGTTCTGTTCTCTCTTGTGATAGTCAGGTTTATGTGTCAACTTGGCTAGTCTCTAGTCCCCAGTTATTCAATCAAACACTAATCTAGGTGTTGCTGTGAAGGTATTTTGTGGATGTGATTATTGTTCATCGTTGACTTTAAGTAAAGGAGATTATCCCACACAGGTGCATAAGATGTTCCAATTCCCAGAAATATGTCGGAGCTTTTCAAAGTCCTTTATGGTTATCTCATTCCCCAGCTTTTCTTTTTAAGATTTTCAGTCAGTTTATTCTTTACCCCACTGTTGCCACTGCCTCAGGTAGCTACAGGGTTAAGCAATTGTCCCTGATTGTTTTTGGCAAATCCCCCAGGGAGAAGGTTTTTGAACAAGCTCTGAGTTAGGTCAAATAAAAATAAATAAATTTAAAAACGGAAAAAGCCTTGTTACTGGAGATTTCCAGGGAACTTCCAGACAGGTCAAATAATGATGATTCTCTGAGAACGGTGTTTTGGGAGAGCTTCAATCCTACTGCCCCCTCCATGGCTGCTGAGTTATTGGTTTTCACTTTGATTGCAGGACTTCGTTTTCAAGGCTACTGCAGAACCAGCAAGGGGAAGCAGATGGGAATAGCACAAGTTAAAATAACACAAAGCTAGTTGTTCTTACGAAGATTCAGCTATTTTTCTTAAATAAACGTTCCTGATTGTTGCCAGTCTTTCATTAATTCCAGGGTTCTGAAAAAGTTGATTTTGATGATTTTGCCAGTATTGTCATTGCTTTTATGGAGGAGTAGCTTTTTGGAGATCCTTACTCTGCCATTCCCACTGCCCTAAGGATGAAAGCACAGAGCTGAGGTGCAGGTGCCCTCTCAGCAAGGCAGCCAACCACAAGGCAGTGGTAGCAATCTTTAGAACACATGGATTTTTTTTCAACTCATGACTTCAACGTGTCATGCCAAGTCTGTTTCTCCACAGGGGAAAATGGAAAGGTCCTGAGGGCCTAGATTGGGTACAATGAATGGTGACCAGAGAGGAGGATTTCATATATGCTTTTCTAAACTCACACATTGAGAACGTCATAGAAAGCCAACAGACATTTCAACTCTGGAACTGTCTTTAGGTCAGTTCACTATAGATGGAGCCATGTAAAATCGATGGTTGCAATTGTAAAATCCAAGCAAGAGGAGAGCATGATGATAGATATTTGGTGGGAATAATCTCACAGGGTATATGCTGTTCAAAAGAAACAACAGACAAAATGGAGTCACTTCTGCAAATCCCACCAAGACTTAATCCCTAACCTAATTGCAGTATTAGCCTCTCCGAGGAGTAGAATTTAAACCGTCATTCTGAAATTTCCTAGTCAGCACTAGTCAAGTAATCTGCCTGATAAAACCCACTGCCGTCCCTGAAATAATTCACTCCTATCCTAAGACTGCAAAAATGGTTTAACAACTGAATATCAATTAATGTAATATATCATATAAATATAATAGAGAACAAAATCCACATGATCATCTTAATAGATGCAGAAAAAGCATTTGACAAAATTCAGTGCTTTTGTTTGATAAAAACTCTCAACAAACTAGAAATAGAAGAGCACTTCCTCAACCTGATAAAACACATCCATGAAAAATTCACAGCTAATATCGTACTTAATGGCCAAAGACTGAATGCTTTCCTCCTAAGATCAGGGACAAGTCTAGGATCCCCACTTCTATTCCAAATTGTACTGGAGGTTCTGTCCAAGGCGAATAGGCAAGACAAAGAAATAAAAAGTCATTCAAACTGGAAAGGAAGAATTATAACTATCACTATTCACAGATAACATTGTCTTATTTATAGAAAATCCTAAAGGACCTACAAAAAACTAATAAATTCAGCAAGGTTTCAGGACACAATGTCATTATACAAAAATCAATTCTATTCCTATACACTAGCAATGAACAATGTGAAAATGAAATTAAGGAAAAAATTCTATTTACATTAGCATCAAAAAGAATGAAATACTTAGGAATAAATTTAACAAAAGAAGTGCAGGGACGGCGGAGTGGCGCAATGGTTAAGAGCTGGCATGGGATGCCAGAGGGCCCCGGTTCGGATCCCACATATGAGGGCCAGTGACACTGCCCTCTACAGCTAAGATGCTGAACAACAGCTCAACCTGGAGCTAGGCTGCCTTGAGTCGCTGCCGTGAGTCGTTGGCGACAGCGTAGGCTGCAGCCCCTGTGGCAGTGGGTTGCCATGGGCTACAGTGTGTAGCCAGCAGCCAGCGTGAGCGGCCTTCCAAAAGCCGGCGACTGATCTGCCTCGGCCCAGAAGAGCGCAATGATGGTGCCAACTTGGGCCAGTGAAACAACATCCTCCACAACTAGACTGAAGAGCAAAACGACAGCAACTTGTCTGTTCCCCTTCCCCCAATTCCCCAGCACTGTTCCCATCCCCCCAATTCCCCAATAAAAATCTTTAAAAAAAAAAGTGCAAGACTTGTACACTGAAAATTGCAACACATCAACAAGCTATGTAAATCAACATAAAATACACAAATGGCAGAGAAGCACCTGAAAAGTTGCTCAGCATCATTAGTCATTAGGGAAATGCAAATCGAAACCACAATAAAATACTACTTCATACTCACTAGGATGGTTATAGTAAAACAGACAATAACAAGCATTGACAAGGATGTAGAAAAATTGTAACCCTCAAACCTTGCTGGTGGGAATGTTAAAGGGTGCTGCTTTAGAAAACAATCTGGCTATTCCTCAAAAAGTTAGTCATGGAGTTACCGTTAGATCCAGCAATTCTACTTGTGGGTATATAACCAAAAAATATATGCTCACACAAAAACCTGTACACAAATGTTCATAGCTACAGTAATTATATAATAGTCCCAAACTGGAAATAAGCCAAATGTTCATGAACTAGATAAATGGATAAACAAATGTGCCATGTGCATATAATGGACTATTATTAAGCTATAAAAACAACTGATGCATGCTACAAGAATGAACCTCAAAAAATTATGCTAAGTGAAAGAAACCAGACACAAAAGGGCACATATTGTATGATTCTGTTCATATGAAATGTCCAGAATAGGCAACTCCATGAAAAAAGAAATTAAATTAGTAGTTGTCAGGGGCTAAGGGAAAGGAGAAATGGGGAGTGAATGCTAATGGGTATGGGGTTTCTTTTGGGCATGATTTAAATGTTCTACAATAGATAGTGGTGATGGTTACACAATCTTGTGACAATACCAAAAAATACTGAATTGTAAAACTTTAAAGGAATGAATTTTATGGTATGTCAATTATATCTTAATAATGCTGTTATTAAAAAAAATGATGAGACATGTCTAAGGGCACAGGAGCAGACTTACAAAAGCTCCCAAAGGCCTAAGCTTGGGCAATTTGAACAACAAAATAAATAATGAGAAGTGGCCGGTTGACTCACGTGGTTAGAGCGCGGGCTCATAACACCAAGGTTGCCGGTTCAATTCCCACA